CCCCTGCCTGAGAGAGGAGGTCTCTCCTCAGTGGTACAGGCCACGGGGCAGTGCTGGCCAGCTGCATCAGGACTGGGAACCAGGTCTGGTTTGTCCAGAGCGGGGCCACGAGCAGCACTGGGCATCCGTTTTCCCTGATTCGTTCCAACACTTGAGGCAGGAGCGAGACAGGGGGAAAAGCTATAGGGGAACGCGGGGCCAGACATGGGCTAGCGCGTCCCTGCTCTTCGAGAAGAAGTTTGGACACTGAGCGTTTTCGTGGGACGCGAACAGGTCCACCTGCGCTCTGCCGAACGTTTCCCACAGCAGTTGGATTCGTCTGCGGGTGCAGTGACCATTCCCCTGCTGGGACATTGTTTCTGGACAGCCTGTCTGGTCCCACATTCAGGTGACCAGGCACATGCGCTGCTCTCAGCGAGAGCAAGTTGTGCTGAGCCCAGACCAGAAGGCATTCCGTTAACCTGTAAAGCTTTCGGAACCTGACGCCGCCCTGGCGGTTTATGTGTGCCACCACTGACATGTTGTCCGACCGGACCAGGACGTGGTGACCTTTTATCTGGGGGCAGAAGCACCGTAGCGCTTTGTCGACTGCTATCATCTCCAAGCAGTTTATGTGAAGGAGCTTTTCCTGTTCTGACCACAGGCCAGCGAACGGTCTGCCCTTGAGCAGCGCTCCCCATCCCGAGGTGGAGGCGTCCGTAGATGCTACCTGCACACTCGAGGCGGTCCCCAGACTCACACCTGACTGATACCAGTCGGTTACCTTCCAAGGTTTCAGGGCTGAGACGCACTCTAGATCGACCCTGAGGCGAAACAGACCAGCGGCCCATGCCCGGGGCGGAACTTGCCCTTTTAGCCACATCTGCAGTGGGCGCATGCGAAGCAGGCCTAACTGGAGTACAGAGGCTGCTGAGGCCATCAAGCCCAGCATTTTCTGAAACCTTTTGAGCGGGATTATAGAGCCGTGGCGGAAGGATTTCGCGATGCACTGAATGTCTAGTCCGCGCTCCGGCGACAGGCGTGCTGTCATGGATAGCGAGTCCAGCACTGTTCCCAGAAAATACATTTTCTGACTGGGAGACAGCAAGCTTTTCGCCCAATTGACTGTGAGGCCCAGACTCTCGAGGTGCTCGAGTAATGTGGCCCTGTGTTCTATGAGCTCTGATTGAGATTGAGCTAGAATCAGCCAATCGTCCAAGTAGTTCAAAACTCACATGCCCCGGAGTCACAGGGGTGCGAGAGCTGCGTCCATGCACTTCGTGAATGTACGGGGTGCTAGGGACAGGCCGAACGGCAGGACTGTGTATTGATATGCCTGGCCCTCGAAGGCGAATCTCAAGAATCGCCTGTGATGGGACGCTATTTGTATCTGGAAAATAGGCGTCTTTCAGATCTATTGACATAAACCAGTCCTCTTGGCAAACTTGCGCGAGGATTTTCCTGGTTGTAAGCATTCTGAACTGTCGCTTCACAAGCGCTCTGTTCAGCTGTCGTAGATCCAAAATGGGTCTGAGACCCCCATCTTTTTTCGGCACCAGAAAATATCTGCTGTATAGGCCCCCTTCGCTCTGAGCTTGAGATAAGGGTTCTATAGCACCTTTGCTCAGTAGTTTCGCTATCTAGGCTCGAAGTAGATGAGATACTTCGTTTTTCACCGTCGTCTCGACGCGCGCCGTATAACGGCGGGGACGTCGAGCGAACTGTAGCGAATAGCCTCTCTTTATAGTGTTCAGCACCCATTGTGATACCCCGGGGAGCTTTGACCACGCATCTGCGTGAATAGCTAGAGGTAGAATGAAATCCGGGCTCTGGCCGCGGCCTGACGGCGGCTCGAGAGCCTCGGTGTGCTGAGAACTCAACGCCGTGTTTACAGCGTGCAAGGCAGGGGGCGCGCTGATCACAGCGGGCAGCCTGGCCGCGCTCAGCTTTTCTATGACTGGTAGTGCAGAGAAGGCGAGCGGGGCGAAACCCATGGGGTTCGGCGTGTCTGTGAGAGAATGTGGGCGCAGGATGGCGGGCACATTTACTGCACTGAAAACACTGTCGGCTCACACCGACTGAATGTGTGTTAGTTTCGTTTTTACAGAAACCAAGGGACACGCATCGTGTAGTGTAAGCGGGCACTGTGATGTCGGCGCGTTTACTACATTGTTTGCACAATCGACATGAGTCGATTTTATTTGTGCTAGCCCTGCACCGTGGCGGGCTGTGTCTGGGTGTGGGAATGGGCACTGGGACGTGGGCATTATTACAGCACTCATAACACCATCGGCCGTGGCCGGAACACCAGAAAATGCACTCTTCATTGGATTTATCTGGGTAGCCGTAAAAACGTCTTTTGTGTGCAGGCAAGCGGGCCCTGGAGCTGGCTTGCTCACTGAAAAATACACTGGGACAGTCGCATTGCTTGGAACTGAACGAGTGAGAAGTTTGGGTGGAAATCCGGCCGCAGCGGGATTTGAACACCGTCGCTTTCCTAGAGAGGCTAAGAAGGCTTTGAGAACTCGGGCTTGATCTCAATCCTCGGCCGGGGCCCGCGCTAAGGGGGGCGGCGTCCAGCAGAGCGAGAGCGCGGTCTTTGGTCTCGGGCCTGGCGGCGCTGTGAAGCGGCGGCGGCGGGTGGTGCAGGCTGCGGCTGAGAGCTTCGGGCAGCAACTGTTTCGGGCGGCCTGTAGCGGAGCTCGAGTGCTTCGGCAGGAAATGCTTCATGGCCTGCGATGTTTTCTGCACCTCGACGAATCTGTCCGTGAAATCTTTGACGGCAGATCCGAAAAGGCCCGTTGGCGAAATGGGTGCGTCGTGGAACACGGAGCGCTCAGCTTCCGTCACCTCGGACAGCGTCAGCCACAAATGTCTCTCAGCCACGGTGAGAGAGGCCATGTTCCGCCCCACGGCCTGTGCGGCGGCCTTTGCAGCGCGGGGTAGAGCGAAGTCTGTAGCGCTTCTTAAGTCCGCCACGCAGATCGCTCCCGGTCCTTCCTCGTCCAATTTTTGGAGAAGGTCGGCTTGGAAGATCTGCAGAATAGCCATTGTGTGCAGCGCTGAAACTGCTTGCCCGGCAGCGGTGTAAGCGCGTCCGTGCATGGCTGACGTCACTCGGCAGGCTTTAGATGGTAGCGCCGTCTGAGCACGGCGTCCAGCGGAGGGCGGGCAAAGATGGGACGCTACAGCCGTTTCCACAGGAGGAATGGAAAGGTAACCTCTATCTTTCGCACCGTCAACAGAGGAGAATGCAGCAGAGGAAGAGGTATGCAGCCTGGCGGAGAAGGGAGCGTTCCACGATTTCGCGACTTCCTCGTTAAGTTCAGGGAGGAAGGGCGCGGATCTCGACTGTGACGGGGCTTCATCCTTTCTGAGAAAGCGACCGTCGAGTCTGTTGCGCGGTGGTGGCGCGGGCGCCTCCCAGTCGAGGCCGATGGTCTCCACGGCTTGAGAGAGCAGACGCATCAGCTCTGCTTCAATGCTGGCTCGTCTCCCACGGGGCTGGCGGGCAGCGGGGGGAGGTCCACAGAGCTCGCCCAGTCCTCACTATCCGATGCCAGGAGAGAACATGCCTCGGTAGGTTCGTCAAGCTCAATGGCGGACGCGGCGGCAGACGGCGGCCGTTGTCCATCCGTGCGCAACTCGAGCGATGCCGGCGAAGCTGGCGGGCAAACCGGCGAGCAGGAGAGAGCTCGGGTGCGCGCTGAGCACGGCGCTTTTTGCGGCGCGGTACCACAGCGGGCAGAAGTGCAGGCTCTGAGAATGATGCCAGGCGAGTCCTCAGAGTCACCATAGGCAGCAGCTTGCAATGAGGGCATCCGCTGTCGGCGAGCGCGAGAGCCGCGTGATCTTCACCCAGGCAGGAAACGCAGATGACATGGCGGTCCCCGTCGCTGACTTGGGCTCGGCACGAGCCACAGGAAGGCATCTTTAAAAAGACGCTTGCTCTTTTAGAGTTAGGAGAAGTGTGAGTTGCAACGGCGAACAAACACTCTCAGCAGAGTAAAGGATATGGGCGCCGGAAAGCGCAGCAGGTACGGCGGCTGAAGGCGGCTAGGTGAAGGCCAGCGACTCCAGACTCGAGGGCTTGTCCCGCTGAAGGTTTGCGTCGACGGCGCGGCTTCTCACTCCGGATCCAGCGATGCGTGAGGCTTCGCTGAAGAGATGAAAATCAGTGTACCAGCCTTATCGAGCTATATTTATAGGGCGAGACCACGCCCTTTCTGGCGGGATGTGACGAAATGGGCGCGAAGTGCCCCCATTGGTCAAGACGTCACGCAGAGCCGCTCTCGATAGGCTGCTGCTTTTGCCACAGAGCAGCCAATAGGCGCGCGAGCCGCCTCGCCTATGTCTGTTTGCTGCCGCAAAGCGTTCTGCATTGATTAAAAATTAAGGATAATTTTTGGCTTCAATATCTCGAGGAAAAGAGGTTTTCCCCATAGCGTAAGATATTACGCAGTACGAGAGATACTCTCGTAAGAGAACAAATTTTCCTTGATGTTTTGAAGTAAAAACCTTTTTTACATTTTATCAAAGAATCCAAAGAAAAGAAATATCATTGGTTCCACTCTTTTTTTTTTTCACGGGTTCCAAAAAATGTTTTCATCATTGATAATAATAAGAAATGTTTCTTGAGCATTAAATTAGCATATTACAATGATTTCTGAAGGATTGTGTGATTTCATTTGAAAATTCAGATTTGCCATCACAGGAATAAATCACATTTCAAAATGAATTAAAATAAAAAAAAAGTTTATTTTGTATTTAATATTTTTGATCAAATAAACACAGTCTTGGTGAGCATAAGAGACTTTCAAAAACATTAAAAATCTTACCGACCCCAACTGTGCATATGTAATAAGTGAACCAAAGGGGAAAAAAGAAAATAATAAAAATGTGTGGGGGGTAACTCTTGTAGTAAACATAAATTACTTGATATTTGGATTATAATTCGTTCAAATGTCACTGTCATCCCTTAGCATCATTTGTCTTTCTGTTTTTTGCAACTTTTTATTCAGAAACCTCCTGCAGAATCGGCTAAGGACTAGTCCAGAAAGGCAGTGGAGGGGGCGGAGCATGAGGTGGATAGGCGGAGCCCTATACAGAGTCTCAGCCAATAAGCTCTCTCGCACTCAAACCACCTCCACACCTAACAGTAGACCAGGTAACCATTTTGCAGAGATCATTGCTGTTTAGACATACAGTACTGTGCAAAAGTCTTAGGGAAGTTAGTATTTTCTCACACACACACACACACACACACACACACACACACACACACACACACACACAGACACGTTTACTTGTTACTTACTTACTTTACACTACTTGCTATGTAAATGGGCATATTCCATAGACGTAATGTTTTTTATACAGTAAAAACTGTATAATATATCCCCTTACACCAGTGGTTCTCAAACCTCTCCTGGCTGGAGGATCTGGATTCAGATCCTCAGGTGTGTTAAATAAGGGAGACATACACAATATGCAGAGCAGTGGGTCGCGAGGACTGGAGTTGAGAACCACTGCACTAACCCTACCCCTAAACCTACCCATCACACAAAACTTTTTGCATTTTTACAGGTTTAAAAAAACTTAAATTACTTTATTTTTATACCAGATTTACAAATAAGGACGTCTCTATAGGAAGGTTTTTGGAGATTTTGTCAGGTTTTGGTCACTTCTGGGTACAAATTTGTCCCCAAAATATAGTTAAGTAGGTACACACAAACACAAAAGGTTTTAAGCCAGTGTCAGTAGGAAATATCCGTTTACATTTCCAAACATTCCTTTTGCCATTAATTGTAATAATCCAGTGAGATTTTTGTATGCAAAAGGAGTCTGACAACAGCCGGTATGATGTGATCTCACCATCATCGAGTCTGTCTGGGATTACATGAAGAAACAGTAAAAAAACTGAAAGACTAAATCCAGAAGAACTGTGACAACGTCTCCAAGACGCTTGAAGAAATCTACCTGAAAAACTACCTGAACAACTATGTGCCATGTCAGTTTTTTTTCTTTCTCTTCATGTAATCCAGACAGAATCAATGATAGTGAGATCAGATCATACCGACTGTTGTCAGACTCCTTGTCCATACAAAAACCTCACTGGATTATTACAATTAATGGCAAAAGGAATGTTTGAAAATGCAAACTGATATTTTTAACTGACACCCTACAGCAAAATATATAAATAACTGGCTAAAAAACTGGCTGAAAATTATAATGTACCTAAGACTTTGCACAGTACTGTAGATTACCTGATAAAAAAAAAATCTGTTTCAAACCACTAAAATCAGATTTGATTTTTTTTTTTTGTTTACATGAATATGTGCCCCTGCGGTGTGTTTTTGTGGATTTTAACTGGTCAGTATTTATTGGTTGTCTCTTAAATACATGGTCCAGATTATCAACCCATCCAGCAAGTGAGTGGAAGGGGGCTACAATTCGCCTTCTGAAATAATAAAGCTGTCATCTGTCACTGGCTACAGGTTGAGAGAGAGAGACACAGAGAGAACGAGAGAGATGGTGAATGGCCTAGATTAAACCTTAAAGCCCTAGTCAGAAGTGGAATTAAAGATCAGCTCCTGCTCTGCGACAGGAGTTCCACACAAACACACATACACATGTCTATTTATGATCTCCCCAACAAACTGTAGTCTCACCACACACAGGTCTGGTAGTTAAAACACACAGACTCAATCTCCCATTCCCTTTTTCACATGGACTTTACAATTGCATCCCACATAACCAGCGAGCCATTTCTCACATGCACTCAGATATTACATTCCTTGCTTCTACCCTCATTGCTTGATCACTCATTGCTACATTGAGTGCAGTGTTTATACCTACTTCTCTCTTAGATTTCCATTTGGCTGTGGTTGACGGACCCTGACATATAAATAAACAGCATGATATCTTGTCTTAGTTGTACTTGCTGGCCTCCGTCATTACCAATGAACATGATGACCTTTAATTACATGCTATTAGTCTGGCTTGTTATAAATAAATATGCTTGTGTACAAGCTTGGATGAGGCAAGAGAAAAAAACAAGCACTGGCCTACAGCTTACTTCAAGCTATAATATCTACATTCACAAAGACATACGTGTGTATAGTGTTTAAATTGGGTAAATCTTAAGTTTTTTTAAATTGGGTAAAACTAAATGTTTTTAAAGGAATAGTTCATCCAACAATGCTAATTAGGTCATTATTACCTTTATGTCAATCCAAATCAAACACAAAAACAAATAATAACATACAAAAAAATGTATTTCTTCTGTGAAAACCAAAAAGCGCAATTTTAGCGGAATACTCATGCTGCTCTTTTCCATACATTGAAAGCATTAAGTATCCAGTGACTGTCAAGCTCCAAAAATGCCTATAAGTACTATTGAAAGTATTATAAAATCATGAAAGTAGTCCATAAAACTTGGAAACCTTATGATAGCTTTGTGTGGTGAACAGACCGAAATTTAAGTTAGTTACTGCTAAACTTATGCTTTTGTGTTCAATAGAAGAAAGACATCTTTCATAAATTGGTGCATAATCCTTGATCTTTTGTGAATAATGAGTCTTCCTTCTATAATGTTCTGTCTTTCCATACTACAGGAGAGTGGTACAATCCATATGTTTCCTCGACTAGTAATCAGGGAAGAACATCGGCCACACGTTACGTAGCCAGGTTAGTATTTTAAGATATCGTTCATACCACAGCATAACAATTATTATACATAACATATGAAGGTGAATTTGTTTACTGGTTTTTTTTTTTTTTTTTTTTTTTTTTTTTTTTTTTGCATCAGTCGTGCTGTGCAGAGGAGTTTAGCTATAATACGACAGGCCAGACAGAAGAAACAGAAGGCCAAGCAGTACTGTATGTACTATAACCGATTCGGCAAGTGTAACCATGGTGACACTTGCCCCTACATCCACGACCCTGACAAAGTAGCCGTCTGCACCAGGTACTGAGTTTCTGTGCACACTCTCACAAAATGTCTAACACTTTGAAACCTGGCTTCAAATTAAACTCTTGATTGGTTGGCAGGTTTCTCCGAGGCACATGTAAGCGGACTGATGGGACTTGTCCTTTCTCGCATAAAGTAGCCAAGGAGAAGGTTAGTCAGTATACTTTTAAGGGTTCTTCCAAAAACAGGACAAGATAATGGACGCTGCAAAGAAAAAAGAAAATCTAGCGCAGCTGTCGGCAGCCTTTTTTCTTCATGAAGTGCCAAATTTCTAAATGAAAATAGTTTCTACACCAAGTTTGCACATCACTGCTATTGTGTTTAATAGGACTCTCTATACTTATTTTAAAATCTCCGAACTTTATAACATTAACTTTTTTTTCCACAAAGCTAAGCACAACAAATACAGCAGAACAAACTGCAAGCTGTCAGTCAAATGGACTTAACTTGTGTGATGCATCTGCTGTCCTGATCCGCGCTGTGCATGATGTGTAGCGGTCAGAGCTGCATGCTTTCATCGACTTGTGCAGTAATAGTATTTATAGCTCCTAACTTAATAAAACAAGCGGTGTTACTATGATTACCTCAAAATGTAGATATGTATGCAGGTGCAAGGTACTTTATCTAAATGAAATACATACACTTCTCTTGCTTTTGCTCACGTGCCTGCGATTACCATAGGTTGCCGACCCCTGATGTAGTGCATGTTTACATAAACTGGGAAAAAGAAAATTGGTGTAGAAACAATTTCCACTCAGAAACTAAACGACTAGTAAATTTCATAACCAATTACAAAGAAACGGGAAGTAAACCATTGAATGAAACGTGAAAGTGGAAGTAGTAAAGCTGAAACCTGTAAGTAGTATTTTCTTGTAAAACGTACTCCAGTAATTGTTTTATTTATAACTTTGAAAAATATTTTTTTTACAGTGTAGAAAAGCAAATCAAAATCGCTGTGGAATGGAAGAACTCATCCTGGAAAAAAAAATTAAATCACAAAAATACAGCGGCTTCAGAGATTCTTTTTTATTTCATTTTGTTTGATTTGATAACAATTTTTATAAAGGTTTCTCTCAATCGAAGCATAGTTGAACTGAATTCGTCTAACACAGGGCAGATCATGATCTAATAGACCTGATTTCAGTCATAACTCAAACATAAAATGTGCAGCTACTGTATTTTATCTTTGTAGGACAGTATTGACAGTTGGATTTATGCATAAAGCCATAAGAATCTTAACATAAGTCATGACTGGCCGTATGTGGCGGTTTCATGTTACTGTCAGGGCTTGTGGGCCTGTGGGGTGATAATTAAAGAAACTATGTCAGGGACTTAGCTTCCTCTCTCAGGTTATGTTGGTGTGTTACAGTCTCAATATCTTTGAGGCAATCCCACTAGATTCCAGAGTTACATACTTCGAGGTCTTTGCCTAGGCATTGCCGTCATGGAGACAGGTGGAGATGGGATCAGTATTGACGCAACATGTGATCCATCATATACTAGTCTAGATTCTCCTGAAGTGAACATTACGATCTCATTACTTACCTACCTCTCGCATACAGACATACACGTGCATGGTCACATTTTTTCATGCCCATGATTCTTTGCTCTCCTTATCTTGTTAACCAATTTAGTTTTCAATACCATTATTGAAATATTTTATTTGCAGAGATCTGTAATTCATGTTGCAAACTTGCAACCAAAAAATATCTGACAATAGCTGGGTTGCTGAGATAAAGTGAGTAATATCAAAGACTACAGAATAACACAAGACGCGTCACTCGTATTGTTTTGAATGTGGAAAAGTGCAGCGCTCAATATGGCGGAATAAGCCCCTCCTTCTAAATAAGAGCATTATCGCCAATTCCTATAGAAACAGTCAGACGTGTGCTTCCACTGCGCATCCACCATGAAAAATGTCATTCCCTGTCATGATTCGAGCGTTTAGAAACAAAATGTATGAGACAGTTCTTGTCAGAATTCATTGATTTCAAATATGAAATTTAATCGTAAGCTTGGCGAATGGTTTTGGAGAATTTGATGTTTCCCCAATTAAAGAGATAGGAGCTGCACTTGCAAAGATGGCTGCCGAGTGAAATGACTCGTCTTAAAGGGACTTTGTTCATATTTAGCTGGTCATGTCATTTCAATATGGCAGCCACCATGAAGGGAGACCCATTATGTATGCTCCTCATGAAAAAAACAGTCAGAAATCTGTATCTCATGTAAGTGTACATCATTTAAAATATTTTTCACAATTAGCATTCATTTGAAAACTAATTACTTGTTCCACTTTATATCCAAAGTTTTCTTTAGGGTTCCTTTGATCATGAAAAACATGGAACATCTGTTTTCCATGCCTGAAAAAGTTATGTAAATTAATAAATTAAAATGAATAAATCAGTGAATTCAGTGACAAAATGCCCTTTTGGTAGCCTGACTTCGTCATACTCATATTCTAGAAAGAATGTGAGTCTGATACTGCTCCATTGGGCTGTGATTATGGGGCGTGTTTCAACCGAACCAGGAAAGAAAATGCCTCTGCATTCAATTGGATAGACCTACAACCAATCAGAGCAACGGAGTAAATGACGCATGTTCTTCATTCATCTTTCCGACCGACAAATGCCTTGATCATGGTTCTCTGTTCCTCTTTTAAAAGCAATGCGCTGTCGATATCTTCTATAACAGACGCGATGGCGGAATCTACACGATTATTGTTATTTCATAAACAAAGTTCGGGAGGAGCACGTTCAAATAATCAATCCAATCAACTTGTCATCAAACAATACCATGTCTAATGTTACCCTATCAGCATGAGAGGAAGCATATTCACTCTAACTCACCTAACACTCCTCGACAGTTTTTCTGCATCCCTCCACCACCCCAACTCCTCACTCTTGGCTTGTTCTTTCACAGCCAGGAATAAGGGGGAGTAGGCCTACTCTGGGTTCGGGCCGAATACCGATCACGGAGCCCTCTCCTCGGACAGCACGTCATATACGCATTTATTCTATCTGACTTATTTGTAAGTGTGAACTCGTGAAATCTCAATTCTCCAGCGGCAGAACTTTGTTGTAAACGAATTCAACCCAAGCGCTCTTTGGTGACGTGATGATTACGTAACTGCACCTCATCTGTCAATCATCGTATAAAGCCCGCCCTGGCAATTTGATTGGTCCGAACATTTTTTGACTGATCATAATTACTCCTCAATGGATCGAGTCCAGACCGAACTTCCCGACCAAAAATTGTTGTGGGCGGGGTTCGGGCTGGCAGCCAGGCTACCCTTTTGGTATAATATGGAAGTAATATAAATAATACAATATTTATAATGACTGCATGAGTGGCAAATGAAGAGCGTATGACAGGAATAGCAGTGGCATTCCAGGTTTAGAAGGACTCTGTCTGAAACTTTCTCCATACTTCCTTCCCACAGTGAGATACCCGTTTCCCTTGTTTGTTTGACACAGAAAAAGCCACCCCTCTGAGCGTTCACTTTCTGTAAAACACACATTCTCTCTCTCTCTGCTCCACTCTCTCCCTCCCTCTCTTTATATTCCAACACTTGTTCAGACTTTTGCTTGTATTTGGTCCAAGGCCCTATTCAACCAAAAAAAAAAACACGCCCCCCACCCCCCACACATACAAACACACCGAATCACTGCACCTGTGACAGTCGTCACCCTCTACACCCTCCAGTGCACCGAGAGTCCAGCTGTCTGCTTGTCTTAAAGGAGCAGAGCCACCTCTTCGCAGCACAGGCCCACCTGCTAGTCACGACCCCATAAGTCCCCCTCCTTCTATTCCTACACAGCCTTGCTTGGGGCTCAATTTAACCCCGCACCCTGTGTCATCCGTGTATATGCCATGAAGCATGGCTTGAGTTCACGCCTGCAATTGAAAACGATCCAGTTCCCCCTCCAAATAACTGAGAAACAAGACCCCCAAACCCCATCACCCCACTCGTGGCTAGCGTCCATTCCCCTCCCCTGCACATAAACACATCATGCAGGTGGTACGACGCCCCGCTTGGGTCAATATTTCTGTTGCAGTTAATTAAGCAGAAATGATATGACCCCCATGGAAATGGGATTCCACTTAAGAGGGCAGCGGCCACCCCCCCACCCCCTCCCCTCCGCTCATCGTATGCGCGAACCTCACATTCTATTTTAAACCCAGAGAGCACTCAGTGAGCACTCAGATTATTCATACATGCAGATTATATTCAGGAGGAGTGCAAATCTGTGCCATTGACACATGCACATAATTACTGATTAGACAATGTGTGATTAAATGCATGTTTTGACAGGGACTTCAATAGATATGTGATTTAATACTGGTGCCATATGCGTGTAACTCACTTATGTTTCCCATCACTTATTCACTATAATCTACACACATCTGTTAGAAAGGGAATTTAAAGGCTAAGCTGTATTGTTACTGCTCTTATTCTTTTATAAGTTCATTGGCGTTTCAAACTAACCGTATTCTTTTACTCACACTCACTCTTTTGTTCTGTGCTGGAACTATATGTTTTTAGATTATTTGAGGTTTTATGAAGTTTGATTTATTTTGTATTGTTTGCATTTCCAAGCTCTAAATCGATGGGTTTTTTTTCTTCTTCTTTGTAGATGCCTGTGTGCTCATACTTTCTGAAGGGGATCTGTAATAACAGTAGCTGTCCATACAGCCATGTCTATGTCTCACGCAAAGCCGATGTGTGCAAAGACTTTGTCCGAGGCTACTGCCCGCAGGGAGATAAGGTAAGACAGTTTATATTAAGGGAAGATCACTTCTGTTGCAAACACATGTTGGTTGATTATTCAATTAGGGGGTGTTTGACTATTTGAAAACTTCAACCATTTTTAAAAAAATTGTATTATACATTTCTTTCTTTTTCTTTTTTGAAAACTCAATTGTTCTCTGAAATGCTTGGTGTGATGTAATGACAGCAATATTAGATATTCCTAAGCTATTAATCGCTATAAAAATTATATAGATGAGTAGTAAATTGATTGAAAATATTTTTACTTGAATATGTTTTCTTTTACCTATATTTAACTTTTTAATTTATAATTTATTATAGAGGGGTAGTTAAAAATCAAAAAAAAAAAAATTTTAGCCTTTCAACTCTCTTCACTCTTTCCCCGCCAGCGTTTTTGAAAAAAGTTGCCAGCCACCGCCATCATTTTTGGTCATTTTCAAGGTTTCAAGGCCCCCAGAATATTTTGTTGTATGCATATCTGAATATGCAATATCAAAAGAAAGATCAGACTTTCTGCTTTTTAACAACAACAACAAAAAGCAGTTTTATTCTAGCCTAACACATTCTATTTTTTATCACCACTTGAATTTGGGTTAAGTTTCATAAAACAGCTAGCCTGGTTAAAACAAGACCATTCTCAGTTGTAACTGAGTTATGGTCTGGCAAAGCGTCATAGACAAATCATTTCCAGAGGGGCGTCACCAACGGACGTCGCGGATAGACCTAAAACCAATCAGAGCGATGAAGGAGATGACGTATGCAGAGCGGCGGAGGCACATCTCCGAGTGTTGTTCTTTGCTCGGTTTTTAACAAAAAGGAAACGTTCAAATCGCTAAAAACAGACGCGATAGCTGATTCGAACGAGTAATGTTCGACGGCGGCATCCATCTTTGTAATGTAGGCTACAAAATCTGTTTCAAAATCCCAGCGCTGTCGTCATCGTGTAAAGCCCACCCCAACGTTTCTGATTGGTGCCTCGATTTCGACGGATTGGAAATGGGTTTGAATGAGCTCTTTGTCAGACTAACTTTCAGAGCAAATCTAAATTTGCCGGAAGTTGTCTGGGTTTTCCCAGGCTATAAAACAGCAACAGTCAGAGCAAAAAGCTGAGAAAATCGCATTTTTGTCAAAGACTACATCTGGATGGGATTCAGAACGATGATCAAAACATAGATGAGGTAGATCGAGCCCATCAACACCCCCAAAGCTTTACAGTCCTATAGCTCGTCCTGGGCCTACATTTCATTCAGTAACATTAGGCAGTTTTTATTTATATGCTGTTGATAATTGTGTTATTTTACACATGCATATGCTCACATTTGATATCGCTTGTTTCTGCTTTTTCTTTGCCTATGTTTTGATCAGGAGATTCAGTACTCTTTCAGAAAATGTGTAATAGCACCCCCTACCGTATAACAGTGAAAACACGGAAAGCTGGAAATTTCCGTCAATGGCGGGGAAGCGTTGTCTCACAAATGACGCGAAGCATTGTCTCACAAATTATGGAAATTTCCGTCAATTGTGGGGAAAGAGTTCAAATTAAGTAACAGTGCTTAAAAAGGTACTTTAAATGTTATATAATAAAAAAAATTGTTTATTTTAAACATCCTTTGAAATACAATAATTGTCTATTTTTGTTGTAATCATGTTTTGTTTTTCTTAAAAATCATACTAAGGCACAGTAACTTTCCTTAATTGAGGAATCATTCTTTTTTTTTTTTACACAATTGTATTGTAATCAAAGAATTCTGTGGTAAATAGTGTTGATATAGAGAGTGAACAACCGTGACTGTCATTTGGCACGGTTTAGAGTTTCAGGTCAACAAAATGTATCTTCTACATCTTCTAAATGTTTCCCTTCTACTTGCATCAACATAGATGCAAAGTACATGTGGTTTGACATTCATAACAATTGTTGTATTATAGTGCTTTGCAGTTGATGACTGTTTTATAGGTCTTAATGAATGATGGTGATTGGTGATGACATTTTGCAAGAGTTTTAAAATAGAGCTCTTAAAAGTTGACTCTGTTCCGATTCCGAATGTTAATCTGAACCATTATCCAGGTGCTTATGACATATGCATTTGGTTTCCTCCATGTTTGTGAGTGAGTGACGTATTGAGGGCAGTAACGAGAGGACGACATGACCCACATTTACCAAGTGTCCTCATTTGCCCTTAATCCAGCAGGTTCTACCCCATCCATGACCTCTATCCTCACCCCATCTCTCCCACACACACACACACATATGCTCCTGTTGTCCCCGTCACACCTGTCCCTCAGTCTCATGAAGCCATACAGGAACGTACAAACGTATGCTTGCATGAGACAGATGAAGCCACTGTCATGTTGTACTATCTATTACATTCTTCTTCTCATCAAACTTAGTCTCGTTCTTAGTAATGTTTATTTATTTAAAAAAAAGTTGTTAACACTTTACAGTAAGGTTCTGTTCATTAACATTGGTTAATTAGACATCATGAACTAACAATGAACAATACTTTACAGCATTTATTAATTGTGGTTAATGTTAATTTATACATATACTAATACATTTTTAAAAGTGTATTAAAGTGTGTTGCATAAATAAAAATTATTTAATGTATTATGAATGAACATGAATTAATGAAGGAAAATGACTAAATTTATAAATTAACATTATCAAGATTAAAAATGCTGTAAAAAAGAAAATCCATGTCATATCAGTAGCCTAATAAATGCACTTTAATTTCACATGAAGTTAGGTCGCCCCATGGACATCGCATGACCAACCGACTGATTATCTCTTTAACCACTCCGTCAAACAATTTCCAAGACAAGTCCGAAACAACTGCTATATTGGCCAATTAAAAAATTACTGAGTGCATCTTTTTTTTAACTATATGTCATTTTGCTACAGATTTAAAGCGGGAAGCTTTTGAGATAATAACATAATTCATATATGCCAGACCAAAAGTGATTTATTTTTTATAAACTGACAGTATGCCTGACTTTATTGTTCTTCTGCAGAAACTTTCATCGCCACCCCTATCAGTTTCTTCCTCTTTGGATTTGTCTCATTCTAATGAATTGTTTCTCTGCAGTGTTTTCTGCGTCTCCCGTCTTCTCTCTTTGTCTCTGTCTGTCTCTCGCTCTGTTTTTTTCCCCTCCATTTGTTCTTCTTTGCTTTCCCTTCATCGTAACAAATGCATTCTCTTGCTGTCAGGGCTCATTTAAATATTTGGGGTGAGAATGAGAATATATAAGAAGAGAGATATTAATATTTATTCTATTAGCCGAAGTGCTTAGGTTTGTAATTTTGCGCCGTCCCAAAAGCACTGTCTTAGATATGATGGATAGCACACCATAATTATGGACGTGAAAAAGTGCTGATGACAGCAGTACAGGCGAGAGGCCAGCAATGGATACGCCAGCGGAGCAAGGGTTAAAGCACACTCTCATCCTCTTCATTTGTCCCTCCCTCTGTTCTTTTTCCCCTTCTTCTGCTCTCTCTTTCTTACTGCAGGGTTCCCGCGGAGTCTTAAAAAGTCTAAAAAAGACTTAAATTCAGAAAGTGAAATTTAAGGCCTCAAAAAGTCTAAAAAACACAAGTTTAGGTCTTAAATTTAATTTACCTAAGTCTTAAAATTCTTACCTCCGTTCATTTTGTTAATTGTGGTCAAGCGTTGTCCGCCGAAAATAAAACGTTGGTTGTTTTGTTTGTTTTCTAGTAGGCTACGTGATGATGATAATCCCATTGCGTGATCACTGCAGGTATAACTCCTGTAAAGTAGGTGGCGTTATGTAACCCGCGCCGCCAATAAAGTGAAGGAAGTTGATTCACTAGCTACCTGCCCGCCGAATTCGTGCAACGTTAAGTCAGGGCTGTCGTCGAGCGCGTAGTTTTCAAAGATCATTGGGAAGTGTGTGTTTAACAAGATTTGGTATAGCGGACTTCATCAAGAGAGATCTAATTAACACCATTAGCGGACCGTATGTCTTGATGTTCGTTGTTTACTCATTAAACTGCAAGAAAGAGATGATAATTTGGTGGATGATTTAAAAATATTCGTTAATCAATAATCATCTGTAAATTGTGTAGTCATTTGAATGTAATCATAACGGTCGCCTGAGGGCGCTCAACGACTACGTCATCCGTAAGCGTGAGTTTCTAACAAAAAAACAAGTTTACTAAAAAGAATAAATACATTAAATAATTTACCATTGTTAATTTGTGTTTATTTTTGTTTGTTGTTTTTGTATTTAACCCTTTCACACGTAAGTTTAAAATATTCTAACTGATCCCCAGCGTGAGTTTTTCTAGGCGACCGTTATTTAGAACCTGTCACTTTAATGTTTCCATGGTGACGCGTCATTGCTTGTCACGTGACACAGCGCAACCACAACACAGTGCTGAATGAATGATGATCTGCTTTGATGTCATTTTCCCTTTTCTATTCAAAATATTCACAAATGTATTAGCTATAACATTGATATTCCGATTGTCAAATATGTGCAAGTGGATGTGTTTTGTTGTTTAAACACCTTCATAACGATCGCGTTAGTTGAGCTGTTTGTGCGATGGGCGGAGCCATGTTAGTTTACAACACGTCAATTCCTCAACTTCTCACGAAATACATGAAAGTGGCCAGAGAACTGGGAGAAGAATAGTGTAAAATGTAAAGCTACTTACACAATGTGTATCTGATATGAATAAAACGTGTCGTCTTATTATAATGGAAAGGATTATTATTGCCGCTTCCATAGACATCAGTCAGTGTGTGTATTTTACAAACTTAAAATATGTTTAAGAATTTCTGGGATCATTCTAACGTTTCAATTTATGTGTCGTTTTGGTCTTAAACTTCACACATAATGGTCTTAAAAGGTCTTAAAAAGGTCTTAAATGTAACAAACTGAAACCTGCAAGAACCCTGTTACTGCCATTTCCCATGTTTTTATGTCCCGTTTCTTCTTTTGTTTGCTGGCCACATCCATTCACACCTCACCTGGATCACTCTTCTTTTGATTCTCCTACCTTTCCTCTCATCCCTCTATCACTCTGTCATTATTCTCATTTCCCAGCTCTTTATCATAGCTCACACCACCATTCTTTTTTTCTGTCTCTCTCTCGCTCTTTCTTGCTCACTGTCTCAGTAATGTAAAATGTGCTGACTCTTTCTGCTTTGTGGCCAGTAGAAAGCTCTTCTAATAGGCCCCAGAGACTTCCCAGCCTTTCTTAAATCAAGTGGAAAATTGTTAACTTGCACTGATATAAAGATGTTCCATCCACTTCTCTTTTTTTCTCTCACACACTTCTCTTTTCCCTCTATTTAGCTGCTTTTATGTAAATTAAAATGTATGAGAGAGCATGGTTGGAGAGGATTTGGGCTTTTGTGTTTTCTTTGCCCGGATCACAGCCGTGAACATCAAAGTTAATGAGCCTTCTTAGTACTGCGTCCACTTCCCATCCAATCAGTAGGATTTTCTTCTAATTACATATGATTCCAAATAGCCAATCAACTTATAAGTTTATGAATTGACTAGTATAGGTTACACTTTTGTATGAAATTTATGCAAACCAAAGATTAAAATGCTGTCTGCGTCAAAGACTTCAAGCAAATACAGGTTAATAATAGCCTTTTTAAGTTGATTAATTTACCTGCTTTATTGCACTCTATATCAAATGTCCATTTCTGATTGTATGATGACCCATCATAGTTTAATCTGTCCCACCACAGTTTTGTAATGAACCTAAAAGATCACTAATGTTGTGTTTTGAGCCATTGCTTTGGCAAAGCAACTGTCGATCGAACAGATGAAAGACATTGTATGTGATGAAAGACACAGGCAAACCCGTCAGGGCTTCCACGATAATGTACTTCTATGCAACTAAGTGTTAGTCCTTGCAAATAATAGAGCTGCTGGCTCTACAAAAGATTATACAGACAGCAATGAGGACATCTGAATCTTTTTTACACTTAACACAACTCTTTAAACTCTTTATTCTGACTTTAGAATACATAGCAGCCAACCAAGTCTGAAATTGGTGGGTTCAACCAGCCCTGGTCATCTTAGTGGTCAATATGCATCAAATGGTCTGTTGACACCTGAGAGTAGACTCTGGATGCAGTCAATGTTGTTGAATTATAAATGCCCTGGAGATGCCAGTACATTTCCCTGCCAAACATCCCGGGCCCATCCTAAACGGCATATTGGCGATGACATAGGGGCCCAACAAAGCAAAGCCTTTTTTTTTTTTGCAACTTAAATGCTCACTGAGCGTAATTAAGTGACGCAAATGTTAAGTCAAGTCACCTTTATTTATATAGCACTTTTTACAATACAGATTGTTTCAAAGCAGCTTTACAGAGATACATAATGCAAAAAAAATTGTTTCCAGAAGAAAATAGGCAAGGCAAGTTTATTTATAGGACATTTCATACACAATGGTAATTCAAAGTGCTTTACATAGGAGAAAATAAAATAATCAAAACAAATAAGAATTAAAACAGTTTAGAATAAAAAATAAAATAAAGTACAGTAAAAACAGTCGGACGAACAGTGGCACAGTGCTCATTCAGTAAATGCATAGCTAAACAGATGTGTTTACAAATAGCATCACAGTCCAGCTTAAGTAAATTTGTTGTAAAAAAGTTATTCATTTAGTTAATTTATATATATATATATATATATATATATATATATATATATATATATAGCCGCTCCCGAAAAAACCATGATGTCATCGTCCAGCTCAGTTCAGTTCTCATATAATGTTGTCAATGCAGGCAGATCAATAATATTGTTGAATATTAAATTAAATGTTCCCAACTAAGCAAGCCAAAAGCCAATGGCGACAAAGGCGAAAAAGGCGACAGTGGCAAGGAACCAAAACTCAGGTGACAGAATGGAGGAAAAACACCTTGGGAGAAACCAGGCTCAGTCGGGGGCCAACTAACAAACAGTGTATGATAATAATTCAGGCAGCAGTATAGGTCAGATTTGATTGGAACATTCAGAATATTATCCAGTTCCAACTGTATTAATTCATTACACCTGTCTTAAGTCAACAGTAGGAGTCAATATGGGATAAATTGGCATATTTTTCTCTTAAAGATTTTAACGTAGGGGGTGGCATATTCCTATTTTGCCCAGAGCGCTGGATTGTCTTCCCCCGGCCCTGGGTTTACGTATATCTTAGCCACCGCACTAGCCATTATTTTTAATCTAAGGAGACGTTGGCGTGTTTTCCAAACATTGATGGCAAGGAAAGCCCCCTTATACTTTGGAGTGGCACATATAAGGTGTTTCTCCCTCCTATCTGCTTCAAGGTCTTGATAAATTGTGTAATTTATTTGTTATTTAGAATCCAGTATTCCCGTAATACTTTTGTAATACATGAGTTTTAATGAAGATCTCTGTCTCGTCTTCTGTCCAAACATACCGCGCCATCTACGCCAGGTGACCTGTAAATGCGCAAAAACTATTTCCCTTGTAAAACATGGGTTTGCAAAATATTCCTTTTTCGATTTGCCTAAAAAAACACTCCATGCGAGCGTAAAAACTTTTTTGCAATATATGGGAGTTTTTGCAAAATTGACGTGTTTCCAGTGTGTATATTTTCAATTTTTGATTTGCGCAATTTGAAGGGTAATGGAGACTACTGATGCTCTTGAATCGAAACAATAGATCCCTATGGAGCTATTCACACCAGGTGCGACCAATCGCAGCGCAACAACGCAAGATTTTTTTTCCCGATCGGTGTGTCGATTTTTTTCCCCACAGTCGGAAGCCGTTAGATGCACTTTTGATGATGGTTTCTGTGTAGTACTTAACTTTATTCATCTAAATTTCCTTTTGTATGTTGTGCAGCAGACAAGGTTAAATCCAAAAGGGAAAATATATGAGATGCATACATGTGGAAAAATGAATTCTCGGTCAGCGCCACCTATCGTGCAGGCGTAAATTAGATGAAGGCAATTAATCGTTTCGCGCTCAGTGTGAAAGGGCCTTTACACTGAATACATTATGAGCTAGTGAACAGTGATGTCAGTTCTATTTTTACTAAATATTTTGCCGCACGTCAAGATGACTTTATCAGTTGTCTGATGATTGGGAATTCCTGGTATTCATATTTAGCTGTGATTGAAATAGATAACCGGTAACTAACATCATGAAAAAGGGGAAACTTTTAATTAAATGTAGACTTTTTGGGGGGGAAAGCATGTGTAACTTGACATTTTCCCCATAAACATTATTCAAAGATCAAGCACATAAGTATTAATTGTTCATATTGTCGTGAATATGAAAACAGAATCGGTAGAATTACATATGCAGTATTCTTATGATCAGATTATCCCACTTTACAGTGTTTGTAATTTCTCACAGTTTGCACATTTGTCCTATTTGCCTTCACCGGACCTTTGAATGATTAAAGTGCGACATGGATGTTATCAGTCAAACAAGAAACAAATGGGTGTTTAAAAAAAGAAAGGTCCCAAATGCTCTTCTGAAATGGGGTGGAATTGAAATCGACTGAATTCAAGTGGCAAGGGATTTAGCAAATTGGGCCAATTAGCCATGAGTGTGGTGAGTGATGATGTTGTCTATAGGATGATTTAGGGGGCATTAGAGACCCAGATTCATTGGGTGCGATAATCCAGTTACACTGGACTGTGTGTATATATAAAATATTCTTAAAGTGTTTCCTGTTTAACAGAAAATATAGCAAAAGCTCTCCTCCTGGGCTTAATAATTCCATAGCCACACTGCAATTAGTGATAGAGTCTATGTTCCTTAATCTCATAATCTAGACATGGACTTATAACACAGACAATAGCCTAACTATTTTTTTATTACTGTTATGATTTCATTTTAGTTGTTTTCAGTTTTGTTTTGTTGTTTTTCATCATAGCTAGCGTATACTTGACCTTAATGTGCCATTTACACATGATACATTTAATAGAGAGGTTTACTGAGGGTCTTGAGATGCATTTTGGCAAACTATTTTTCACACAATATCTTAATGTGGTGCTATACACTGAAAAAAGGCAGATGCATATGTGCAACAATTAAAAAAGTACCACAGCTGGATTAGAAGAACATGTTTCCTGTGTGAACTGTCCCTGTGTGAACTGCCTGTCATTTCATTTCTAAGCACCAAAAGATGAGATCCTCAGGTGTTTCACTGTTATAACTGTATATTTGGTCATTTTAGGCCACTTATGGCTCTGACCTGATCCCTGTTGGGGGGGAGAAGGTCTCTGGGCGGTCTGCCCCAAGGGGTGACAGGGAGTCCACACTGTTCCCGGACACACGATCCTTCAGCCACCCTTCACTCCCACACACATACAGACACACTCTCTCTCTCTCTCTCTCTCTCTATTTCTGGAGCAACTTGTCCCACACTCGCCCAGTCCCCCTACTTATACACTCGTCTTGTGCTCCTCACCCCATAGTGGGGTATAATTAGCTCCTCTGACAGGTGGGAGGGATCGGGTCTCCAGAAGAATGAAGCTACCAATTTACGCCCAAATTACACAGGCACACAGACACTCTCACCTACTCTCACTTACACACACAAACACATGCTCACCTTCTCTCACTTATCAGATGCATGCACCTACTGATGTGTGATGACACACAAACACTTACTTTTGCTAACTTCAGTGCACTCCTACTGAGTGTGGCACACATGAAATCCTAACAGTGTTCCACATGTTCATAACCAACCCACAAAACATCCACTGTGAATCTGGGTATAAAGAAATAAAGCATTAAGAATTTTCTGCTCTCTCCACAGTGTAAGAAGAAACACACACTGGTGTGTCCTGACTTCTCCAGCACCGGTGTGTGTCCACGTGGATCCAAATGCAAGCTGCACCACAGACAGAGTGTGAAACGCACCAGCTCTAACACAAGCTTTGGACCGGCTAAGAAAGCCCGCACCAGAGACATTATAAAGAGGTCAGGAAGAGGAACTAATCCCACATTGGCCTTTACAATTCTTAATTGCCATCTGTACTGTATATAAGTGTTCTCTTTCCACTTCTCTTTCTGCACTGTAGTTATAGCTCAAACAGTTATAAATAAGTTATTATTGTTATTATTATTATTATTATTATTTACATCACTATATTACTATTATTTATAGGGAAGAGACCTGAATAACCATAGCCACGTTTCCACCGAAATTACCTGGAACAATTGGTCCCAGGAACTTTTTTTCCCCCAGACCTGTTAGCTGTCTGCGTTTCCAACGCGGTCTAAAGTACCATGAAGATTAGGCAAATTAAGGCCCATTCACACCAAGAATGATAACTATATAAGTGCCCACACCAGCGGACGATATCTTTCTGTTTATTCTAATCGCGTGCTTGTCTGCCACTTTGAATGCTCGAGCTCGTTACAGCAGGATGGATTCTGATTGGCTGTCAATGTTTTTATCGTTCATCAGCTGGATAAAATCGTTCTGAAAGTGATTCCAACTATATCGTTTCTCTGTGCTGTTATCTTGATAGCTGTGGTGTGAACTCTGCTATTCTTTTATATTGAGAACGATTTTTAGAAATATATCTTTGTTATCTTTATAGTTATCTATATCTACCTTTAGTCCGGTGACGTAGGACTGTGTGCGACTCTCCAGTTCCCGCTGGATTTCGTACTCTGCATAAAAGCTTAATAAAGCCTTAACCTCGTCGTCGGTCCATCTTTCGTATTTGTTAAAAAATCCATTGTTGATTCGAATAACAATCAACTCTTACTGCACGCACCGCAGCAGACAGACTGGTGGTTGAAATTAAAATGCTGCGTGGACTCAACCAATCAGCATGTTCAGCGCCCAAGTCCCAGCCCCGTATGTTCCTGAACTTTGAAAAAGTACACTACTTTCTGAGGGTGAAATTTTTACCCGGAACTTCATTTAGACCCTGGTTCCTGTGGTCAAAACACACCGAGTACCACCCCAAAGTCCCTAGTTCCTGGGGAAAGTTCCTGCGGTAGAAACGCAGCTAATGCAAATCTCCCATGAGCATGATCATTTATAAATTCCTTTGAAAATATAAAAAATGAAACAAATGAAGTCTGTTTCTTCGTTATAATAATTTGTGTTTTGCCTTTTTAGTACGGAGGAAGTTCAGGCTCCGTCTACAGAGTCCATACAGGCAGATGAGGGCTCGTCCTCCTCGGGTCCTGAGAAGCTGCCCTCCTTCATATCTTTGTCCAGCTCTCCTGACATGTCAGAGAACCCTGATTCCCCAAAGATCCCTCCTGCGGCAGGCTTACAGGCCAAAGGTGTGTACTGTATGTGAACAGGAGGTTAGATTTAAATAATAATAATAATAACATACAATAGATGAGATGCATACATTGGCCCTACAAAGTATTTAGATACTTAAGCTACACTTAATATACAAATATTATTGAAATAGTTAAGTGTATCCAAGTGGCACTTTAAAGAAAAATAGCAAAACATTCACGAAAATAAGTTTATTGGGTTTTAGTTGAAAATTATGTTAAAAAAAGTATTTGGGCACATAGTGATGACAACTACACCTGTGGTTACCCTCCTGGGACACCTATATGAAACTGAGAGGAAATTACTTCATACACCCACTAAAAATTGGAGTTACTGGGAAATAAAGTTAGCTCTATGAAAAGGTATTGCATGATTTGTTTGTAGATGCCACTTGGATTGATGTTTTGTGTCTAATGCATTTAAATTGCCTGAAGTGTGTGTGTGTGTGTGTGTCTTTTTTAATAGCCTTTTTAAGTGTGGCTTAAGTGTTCAAATACTTTTTGGTCTCACTGTATATATAAAGAGTAAGGAGGTAATAAATATTTATGGAGTAAATAGTTGTGTTATTTAATGCGCAGTGACGGGGTTAATAATATCGAGGGGGGTGATATTATTTAAGAGCGGACTACATGAGGTATATAATACTTACTGAGGGGTTACTAATATTTAGGTTTGTTGTTAAGGACAGGCACAGCTGAAGCTGGTATGCCAGTCTGACTGATAGAGGATTAGAGGAAAGGGGCCCCTATATCCTCACACACACACACACACACACACCAGCTGTACCCTATGGAACACTGTCTTTCTCTCTCCACACTCAATAAGACAAACCTTATATACTGCCTTTACGCAAACTCATGCAAGAAATGAACTGGTTCTAACTTTTAAGAAACCATCTTAACTCTCTTCATTTTGTTTTCTCCTTTCTCATGCTTTCACACTTCCTTTCTTAAATTAGTTACTGCAGAACAGAAACCACTGTGATTAACCTCTGACCTTGTGTGTTTTCGCTCACATGGACATTCTGAAGCATGGCATTGGCTCTTTCTCTTCTCTATACGTAAACATTTAAACGTTTAACTCCTGTTTCCTCTATTTTTGCTCTGTTTTTTTTTTAGCTCATGTTCATGCATCTTTGCTTTCTATTCTCAAAGCTTTCATGAGTGATGGCAAGTTTATTTCTGTGTCATGTCTGCATATTTATATAAATTTGTTCTTGTTGTGCATACACACTTCCTATTTCTCTGATGCCAAGTTCCAGATCAGTTCCCCGTTGGGATCATTGATGGCAGCCCTGTGTCTCAGAATAGCACAGGTGCCTACCAGACCACCATGGCCTTTCACATGTCACTTTCTCATCCTGTTGCCTGAAATCATCTGCTACATACTGTACAGACTGAACAATTGCATCTCTCAAAGGGAATTTGACTTTTCTGATTCAGTTCAACGATGTGGATTCCTTAGTGGTTCTGTTAACCCTCTGGGGACCAAGAACGCACCCGTGCGTTTTGGCAGATTTTTTTCAAAAAGCAGAAAAATAGACTTAAACTACTCCATCATTTCTGGTCATACAGAGTTATGAAACATATTAAAAAAAACTGTTAAATGTCTACTTTTTATGTGCCCACCTACAATCAAAATAAAATATTGTGCTTTTGTAAAATAAAGAAAATAAACAGGGTGTGCGTTCTGCCTCTCCGTGTCCGTTTTTTCTGGAGCACGTCTCTTAAACTTAAACAAAACTCAGCTAATACTATTCACCCAGACATGAGAAATATATGTTTATGATCATTTAAGTTTGTACTTTTAAATTATCTAATTTAAAACTAAAATAAAGATTCCCTGTTTATGTAATCTTTATAAAAAGAGAGAGGTGTCAGCCGTTCTCATTAGCGTTCTCGCATCTCATTATTTCCGCTAATGTAACACGCCCACGGAGAGAGCGCGCTATTCAAACGCTAATGATCTGAAGCAACACACTGAGACGTGTAAACGCGCATATAAACTCTGTAAACACACTATATTTAGTCAGATTAATGTACTGTCGTCTTGCGCGGCTGTGAGGAATAATCCTGGGACATTTACCTACCTCAGAACAAGTGCTGGTTTATTTTCACTTCGAGGAGCGAGCTGAACTGTAAGTGTTTTATTCTTGTGGTTTGTTCTAATCGCGATATATAATAACGTTAGTGTCTGTAAACGCAAAAATAGCCTACTGTTTAAATTTGAATCATGTTTCTGTGTGTGTGTGTGTGTGTGTGTGTGTGTGACTAGTTTAGGATAGATTATAAAGTTTTAACTCTAAAATAGACATCAAATAAGCTTTTGTTAGCAGTTTCTGCTCATATGTTAAATATATAGTATGTTTTGTCAAAAATAAACGTATCAACTGTTATAGTGTTTGTTCCAGCTAGGCTATATCAAAATAATCAATCCTTAACTTTGAAATATGTATAATAAATGTATTGGCATACTTTAAAAAATAATACTTTATAAGAGATTTATGGAAAAAGACAATTTTCTTTTCAAGATGTTTCCAACTCTAACTTTGAACCAATTCTATTGAATGGCCCATATAACCTATTTGAACAGGATTTGTTTCCAGGTATGACTAAAAATGTGCTTTTGACTTTCATTTATATTTTGATTATATATATATATATAATATATATATATATATATATATATATATATATATAATGTCTGTGTGTGTGTATCTATGTATATATATTTTCCTTGCATTCTTTCTTGTGACACACCTGAATGAAATGAATGCATCTTTGTCTTCTCAGGTGAGAATCACCTAATTATACATGAGGGGGTTGGGCCGTTCACGCCCATTCGCATATTGCCTTTAAAAAAAAAAAAATGTTTTTCACAATTTAAAGCAATCTATGGTGTTATGTGAATGATTAGAAAGGATGATTTTCAGATCATTTTGAAGCAAATACTCTAGGCCAGGGTTTCTCAACCTTTTGCCTACTGCGACCCACTTTTCTTTTGTATGCCAGTCATATGACCCACTAAATAAATCAAGAATAACTGAAATGCTTCTTTAGATCTATAGGCTACAACGCAGGCCTATATGCTTATTATAATTAATGATAATCACGAAAACACACAAACATTTTCAATAATTAGGCAGACTATGAGGCAAACTGATTTTTTTACTCACGTTAATGTGATAGCCTTGAGACTGCCGCTCTGATCATATCCAGACTTGGTGGAATTTGGAAAAGTGGGACTCGTAGTGTCACACACAAACTGTTGTCAGCCTATTCCTGCTTTTTTTTTTAGTTGCAGTCACTGTTGAAAATCCCGACTCACAAAGATACCATAAAACTTTATTTTCCCAAATCGTCGAACTGCACCGGCTTGTATTTGAGACCAACACAGTCTCATTAAAGTGCGTATCTATACCACGAATGTTATTTCTCGTGTCATTTATACGCCAAAACTGGTTTTCCCGTGCATATGTTAACACCCTTGGGTAGGATTAGGGGGGTGGGGGATGCGTGCGTATTACACGCCATAGTGTGTATCATATGCACGCGAAAACTGCGTAGCATATGCACGCAAAAAACAGTTTGGCCGTGTAAATGGCACGAGAAATAACATTCGTGGTATAGATACGCACTTTCATGAGATCGGGCCTTTATAATTTAGTGTTGAGATGTTGTTCATTGAGATGTTGTTCCTAGAGTCTCTAATCTCTAAAAATCTCCAAATGCTCCACGTGAAACTGCGGTCTTCCAACCTTGTACTATCGTGTCAATTGATTTTGATTAATATGCGCGAGGGATAGAGAGCAAGACAGCGCTCGTGTTGTTTGAAGGCGTGAGTGCGCGCGCGCGGCCGGGGCGCTCTCTCTCTCTCTCTCTGCTCGTTATGCACTGTCAAGCGCAGCAAGCGGACGCTCTGACGGGTTTTAGAAGATTAAATACAACCCGAAACTAAAAAACAGACCCGGCTTCTATTTGAGACCGGCCTTTATTTACCCAAACCTGTCGCCGCCCGCACCAGGCGTGTAAAAGAGACAGGCGTCTATTCGGGACTCGGCTATTATTTGAAGTTTTACGGTAGTAGTGCTAAATGGGAAGAGAAACTTCGTTGCACAATCTGCAAGTTGTGGATATTCATTTCTGGTTTGAATCCAAGCAATGAAAATAGCCTATGATTCGTCGGAGGATCGGCTATGTTTACATGCACTTTTGTTTCAATCGGACTGAATTAATTCCAATTGATGAATCTGAATGTAGTGTTTACATGAACGCTAGGGTTAATGTGCGCGTTTATATGTCACAAGATTCAAATCGAATTATATGTTTTTGACATGCGTACACTGCACGAATATACAGAGTTTCCCGCTGTTCGCGCATACTAACTATTCTCTTACATTGGTTCTTTATTTGTTTTAAACAGCAGACTTAATATTTATCCATTGCTGATCATAATTTGGAGACAATGAGCATGAACCGTTGTGCCGTGCTTATGCACACAGTAAAACTGCCCAGCACCCAAAACCAGTTGTCTGTGAATGAGAGTCTGAAACAAGGACTGGTGGGATGTTGTCCTGCTCCACTTCACAGACGCTGAGTGAAAGGAGAATTTTAAAATGATGGTAGGCTACGCTCATTTATACGACACTTTACTCAAAAGGAAGAACAGCTCGTTCAGCGCGTCATACATCATTATGCTATGCGCAGTCCTTTAGTTTCGGTTTTCAATCCGATCAAGCGTTTATGTCCTCCCAGTTGGATTAGAAAAGGAATAAACCACCCCTTTCAATCGAATTGAAATTTTATTCGGATCGAGCTCAATCGGATCGATTAAGGTGTTTACATGAAGGCTTTTTAGTCCGATTGAACCGTCAATGCGTTTACTAACGGATTATTTGGATTTGGTTGCATGTAAACGTAGCCTGTTGCAATGAGCCTTTTGTGAAGCCCATTTATTGGCTGTGCCGGTTAACACAGAGAAAGTCTCGCGACCCCCTATAGAACGAACAACGACCCACTGGTTGAGAAACACTGCTCTAGGCCACAACTTCCATTAGTCAAAAGTCTTGTGGACACATATTTAGTATGTGTTTTGTGGCCTTATTTCAGAAACTTTCATTTTTAGTTTTATCAATAAACATGTATAAACAATATTCTCTAAAAAATACAAACATGTACATACATGTTGCTCACATATTATGGTAGCCCTGTTTGTGCTAAATAGAGTGTAATTTCACCTGTGCCAGTAATATGTTTATAAGCAACTGAAAAAAGCACAAATGTCAGGGCATGTCAAAACATCTCAAGGACCCCAAAAATACCTTGGTCCACAGACCAAGACGCTCTCCGTGGGCGTGTCACATTAGCGGAATAATGAGATGTTTGGCAAACAATACTTACTGCATTCATTATCCTCAGAAGTATGTTGTCAAATGATTTTAGATTTCAACTAAACAGAAATAAAAAATCTGATTTGTCCTTCAACCCTTCAATTTGTTTAATTTTTAAACAAACCAATAAGTCTTGACAAACTTTACTTTTCTAGTTAAATAAACTATACATTTTAATTTTAAATATTAATTTCTTAGTTGATTTGAGTTCTTTGTTGTGATCAGATTCTAATTGTAATTCATACCTCCTGTTTGCAGCCTCAATTTAAATACAGAAATGTAATTGTAATTTAAAGCACATTCTATTCTGAGGCAAACATCCCTGATCATTATGATAGCAGCTCTAATGCTTAAATAAATATTGTATTACATATACATATTACATATTACAGAACCAGTACTTAAACTGAAAGTCATTAAAATCATTTGTGTGCGTGCGTGCGTGTGGGTCCAGGAAAATTCTACATTGTAGAATACAAAATATCCCCACAAAGATGGCAATATACGAAATCCTTGTCCTTGTGGAGACATTTGTTGGTCCCCATGAGAAAAACCGCTTATAAATCATGTTTTTTGAAAATGTAAAAATGCTGAAAGGTTTATGTGATGGTTAGGGTTAGTGTAAGCAGATAGAATATACAGCTTGTACAGTATAAAAATCATTATGTCTATGGAATGTCTCCATAAATCATGAGAACCCAACGTGTGTGTGTGTGTGTGTGTGTGTAAAGAAATTGGAGCTGGTCTTGAATAAGAACTAACTCTTGATTCCCACCTATAGTGAGGTTCCCAGCCACACAGACTCACACTAAGAGCAGTTAATTGTTACTAATGACAGTGTAGCTCTCATTCTAAAGATTGTGGCTGTCCAGACAAACTTCTCTCTGCTTTGCATAAATTAGCCCACAATCTATGCATCACTGCCTGCATCTTCTCCTTTCCCCTTCGGTCTCTGTGCTATCACTCACCCTGAGACAATCACACACTCATGTGTCACTCCTCTATCAGTAAAAACAAGTGATAGCTACTCCTGTCATTACGTAGCAGGTGTTATTTATTTCTTGTCTGTCTGTCTGTCTTGTTTTTCCGAACAAGAAAACTTCACTTTTAGCATCAGTTACTGCTGTATAACCAAAAAACAATCACAATTCACTTCCTTGAGTACATGAAATAAACTCTTCCTTTATGGATAACATGTTGTTCTTTTCCTTTTGCACTGCACAGTGTTTCTTTGTGGAAATGTTCTTCTCCTTTCTTCTCTCTGTTACAGGAAAGACACTGCATATCAAGCCACGATTCTTATCTTCAACACAAACAGAACCCTCGCCAAAGGAGGGCTAATGGTGGGTGTTTTAATCAGTAATGAATAATTCAACTTTTTTTAACTTAACTTTTTATTTTAGAAATAAGAAATTGACTCCGCCTCTCTTGAACAGTTTACAAAGACCTCTGTACATTAGACGTTCACAACTATTTTTTGGTATCAAATCACATTTTTCGTTTCAAGAATTCCAAGATGCAAATTCCAAGAATTGATTGTACAGATTTCTTAGAATATATGCATAACTATTCACAACTACAGAATATATCCATTATAATCAAATACTGTTCTGCAAAAAAACGGGTTTTTTTTGCAGACGTTTACATTTGTAGAGAATGGAGTTAGTTTCGAAGTGTAAAGTTATTCTCAGGGGTTTTTAAAACAGCGTTTATGTAGTGGTTTGTTGTGCAAAGAATTAGTTTTATCATTTAGAATGTAAGCTTGTGAAAATGTATTTTCAAAGAATGGAAAACTACTTAATAAAATTGCTTTATGATTTTTGCGAATTCATCTCTCTTTATTTGTGAGCATGTTTGCCTACATGTGTGAGAATCCCAATGCAGGATTGACTAAAATCATGACTAAAGCAGAAACGCTTCAGTTTAAAGTATTAAACCAAGTCTAATCACACACCACTTCACTCCCATGTTGTGTTCAGAATAGCAATGTTTAGCGTGAAAAGTATCGGCATTCCTCAACATGTGTTGTAAAGCAGGTGTATGTAAAGGACATCGCTCATGAGTGTGTGTCTGTCACTGTAATTGAGTCTTAAGGAATCTATAGGAAAACAAAAAAAACATAACGCCTCTCACACTCTTCAAAACTCATTTTTCTTCTCCTCTCACTTTTTCCTCTCTAACTGCTGTCTGACCAAATCCATCACAACTAATTTCTGACAATGTCATTTTCCTTTTCTTCTCCCTGTCTTTTCCTAAAATGCGCATTTGATTGAGGATCCGTTCTTAGATGAGCCTGCCTCTTGCACTCCTCCTCCTCCTCCTCTCCCTCTTCTCCGTCGGGTAATGTAATTAGGATGTTGGGTGTTAAACAGTGGTACAGAGAGGCTGATGGGAGCTGTAATCCCTTGAACGCCCCTCACTGTGCGGAGACTGCTGATATTCAGACTATTAATGCTCCGTTGAACCAAGGCCTCGTGCTCCGTGCTCTGTGACAAACGACTGGCGGTCGCGACGGGAAACCTGGTTAACCGTCGCCGGCAGCAACGACAGGGGGCATTAATACACCGTGGCGAGGGTCTCGCTGCGGAACACGACAAGCCTGCCGCCGTGTTAACGAGATAAAGGCTGTGCCCATGATGCGAGCTACGTTTACGATGACATCGAGAGATGGTGGGAAGGAAAACACTCCTTCATTTGACTACTCTGTCTATCTTTCTCCCCTATTTAATCATTCATGCAGGGAGGAATACTTCACAAGAATGTATGTTGATATGGGTGTTGTAAAATCAACTAAAGTTCTCATACATCATCGAACCCCTTGTTTATCTTTTTTGCATTGCAACTCTTGGTTTTAGATTTTCTTTTTCTTTTAAAGGAATGTCCTGTGCCCAATACAGGTTAAAGGGATAGTTCACCCAAAAATGAAAATTCTGTCTGATGGTTTCAACCTGTATGAGTTTATTTGGTCTGTGTAACACACACTCAAAAAATGCTGGGTTGTTTTAACCCAACTTTGGGTCAAATATGGACAAACCCAAATGTTGGGTTAAAAATGTAATTAAAAAATGTAACCCAACGGCTGGGTTTGTCTATATTTGACCCAAAGTTGGGTTAAAAGAACCCAGCATTTTTTAGAGTGCAAAAGATATTTTGTTGAAATAACATAAAATAACTGATATTTTGATACATTTTGGTTTCTGAAGTCAATGGGGACCAGCAACTGTTTGATTACCAACATTCTTCAGAATATCTTTTGTGTTCAACAGAACAAAGAATCTCATACAGGTTTAGAACAACTTGAGGGTGAGTATAAGTGATGACATAATTTTTATTTTTAGGTGAACTATCCCTTTAACATAAATCGACATGACATAAAAGTGATTACCATATAATTTTTTTTAATTTTATTATTTGAATCTCCTTTTCTTGGAAAAAAAAGTGATGCACTTATATTAGACGTGAATGGGGTCTATGCTCTGTTAAAAAAAGGTTTCCTTAAATTTGTAAGTACAATCAATATAACGCGTTTAAAAAAGTTGAAAATTGCTTAATTTATTTTGATGAGTTAAAGCAATGTAAAAACATGATATCTTACTTATTGATCATATAATTTTTTACAAGTGTGTATAAACTTTAAAATGATCTCTGTTTCAAAAATATAGCCACAAGATGTAAAAAATATGCATGTTAGATGGTTTAAGTTTGATTTTCTCACTTACTAACCATAGCTGTGTAAAGTTAAGTCCAGTTTTACAACTTTGTTGCCTAAATGCCATGCCAAAAACACTAAAATAACCATTAAAATGTCAATTTAAACAACTGTATAACTCAAATAATACATGTTTTAACAGAGGTTCATGTAATGCTTTTATAAAATAAGCTTCACATTTCTGCTTTTAAATTTATTTGTAAGTGCCTCAACGTAAGCTCAATTATTACTTCTTTTTTTTTAAATAAATAAAACAAAGGACAAAGTACTTTACATCAATTAAAGTTTCTCAAATAATTCGATGTTATTTTTTCTTCTTCATTCATTCAGTCACTGAGATGCCTGATGAGTCTTAATTATGAAGAATATTCGTTAACCTTCATTTAGAACACATTTCACTGCTTTGAATGAATTACCGCAGAACTCAAGAACTTGTACAGTAAAGTCATAACCCATACTGCCCTACAAAGCCAAAAGGCAGTAACTGCATTTTTGGTCAAAAATTAGTTAATGTCATTTTTGGGATATTAAAGACCTCCTTTATCATGTGGATAAATATCTATACTCAATTTGACTGTTTTTTCGAAAAAATAGAGGGTTGTGTTCACAGTAACTCCCAAAACCATACAAGCAACCATGGCAGAAAGCGGTAACTGCAGTTACCATTCTTTGGCTTTGATCTTCGACGCAAAAGTCCAGTTACGTACTCTGCCTTTGTTAAGCCATTCATAAAAGAGATGTTACGGTGCCACCTTGCAGTTACGATGATCTGCCTTGGTTTTACTGTGCATAAAAATTTGCCGCGCTTCAGTTACTGTCCATAATTGTCACTAAATCAGTTACTTCTACACAAATATCCAAATAAAAACGAGCTGTCAAATGTGTTGAGTGTTTGTTTTATCAAGTGTTGAACTACTGTAAGAATGGCAAATTGCTCTATGGAGGAGGTAGTTATGCAGGTTGTTGCCCACCGTTGTTTTTATCTCTATACATGAATTTCAAACCATCCATTAATAAATTGATATATTTGCGTTCTCTTTCAAATAAATGATTGTTTTTAATTATCAGAGATAGTTGTTGTATTTATTCACATTGTACACTCTTGTGTCACCTATCTGTTGGTTTTGCTGCACACAAAATTGAAGTTTTTTAGTTTACGCATTGACTCCAACTGAATGCACTCCCAGCACTGGATAGCAACAATGACATGTCTAAGTATTTGTGTGTCATCTAAAACAAATGCCATGATCATTAGACTTTAATGAAGGTGATCAGTTAATATCTTCTAAATGGTGGTAAGCAAATATTGATTATATGTCAGTTACTGCCTTTTGCCTTTGCACGACTCCTTATTTTTTAGTAAATAATACAAAGGCAGAGTACAGTATCTGACAAATAAGGGTCAAAGGTCAACTTTGAGCACAAGATTTTTTATATACACACATTTCTTCATCTGGGCAACAAGTCACCAGATTTTCATTGCTCTACCTATAATACATTTGTGTGGACAAAACAAAAAACTTTAAAGTCATTTTTCTCAGTTTGACACTGGTCAGTTACTGCCTTTTGCCTTTGTAGGGCAGAATAGATGCCAAACGATAGGTTGCTTTAACTTAATACTTTTGTACAGGAGGGCGTCCGGGAAAAGATTACGCGTATTCATGATGCTCTTTAACTATGGTCACATACCAGTTTCTGTTCTCTGCATGGGAAGAGAAAGAGAAATTCATGGAGCAATCACTCTTTCTTTTCTCACCCTCCCTTTCCCTCTCGTTCCCTCGCTCTGACGGCGAGGATGTAAGTGCCTTAGACAGATGTCTGCTGCCGCTTGTCTCAAAGCTCAACGCGAGCTGCTGAGCTCGGCAAACTCTAATTAAGATCAATATTTCAATTTTTAGTAAAAGCGCATGTGAAAGAGAATGAGGAGGGGAGTGAGAGAGAAAGAAGGAAAACACATTCACATTTTTCCGAGGACAATCTCACTTGAATGAGAAAAAAGGAAAGAATGAAAGGTCAAGTGTAATTTTTCTCTACCTCAATAGATCGCCTATAGGCATAAAAAAGACAAACTTGTTACAGCTCAGCAAAGAGTCCAACCCATCAATAAAGATCATACTTCCACTGCAAGAAGTCATTAGTATAACTGTCTTCTGTCCTTTTTTTCATACTGCTCGCTTTCTCCCATCTTTCTGTTTGGGCTTCATTTCTGTTTACCTTTTTGCCGGGTTTTTTTTTATTTTATTTATCTTCTTCCATTGCTAAAGCTCCAAGTTTGAGTACTTTTTTGGGGGGAGGGGGGGTTTACTTGAAGGAATCCATCAAATGGTCTTTTTTTGTCTTTTTTTCTTCTCTTTAAAGTCACCATGAAATCAAAATAGGCAATTCTTGTTTTTTTGTTTTTTTTTTAAATATTGCAGTATTTCTTATATATGATTTATCCGTGCACATTTATTTTTAACTCGTGCTCTTGTAATCTTTAATTAAAATATCTTCCTCTTGCAACGACATCTCTTCTCTGATGACGTGTTTATGGGCGCCAGGGCGGGACAACCTGTCACTCACATGACATCACATCAATAGCAAATGATCCAATCAATTCCTGATGAACAAAATCAAGTGCATTTTTTCCTATTTTGAGAAGCTGTTTCACTCAGATATATACATCACAATAGAGAAGATAAGACTATTGCAACTTCTGTTTCATGCCAACTTAACACTTAACATGCTCTTTTCTGTCCTAGCTCTTTCTAACTCACTTTTTTGCTGAGAACTTCAGAGAAGTTTGTATACTTGTTAGTTTGAATGTAGTCAAATGATTACTGCTGAGTCTTTAAATGGACATTTGTGAGATTTTGAGGCCTACAAAAACCTCCTTTCCAAACCTGCTTCCGATAACCCCCTACTCCACCTCGCACCTCTCAACTATTTTGGCTAAAGACGGGTTAACCGGACAAATCCGTCTCAGTCATTTTCGCACATATCTAGTCAAAACCCCCCTTCTCTCTTTCAAACTATCATACTCTTTCTCCTTGGACGTGCTGATGTCCATTTTGCTTAAATCGGTAGAACTGCACAAGCAGCTAACTCCCAATATGCAAAGGCACAATGAAAGCCCTGACTTCAAAATTTATGTCTCAAGCCCTCGGCCACATCCACACCCACCCATCTCCGCTCACTTGAATGGACGATGGCAGATCTTCTTAAATGTGGCATTTTCAAAGCGGACTGCTTAGCTTGGACTTTGGGGTCCACTCATGCTTATTTGATAAAACCCCCATAATGACTTAGCGCACCTTAAACTTCAAATACCTTGATATGATTTGTCCCGTCCTCTTAGCCCCATCCACCCCCCGACACACACTTTTCTTTTTTCCTTCCGTTGGCAGATTTGAGCCTCAAGCGTGTCTGTATTTCACTCATTGGCACCTGGAAAGAAAGTCTTAACATGTCACATAAAGTTAGCAAAGGTCTCAGATGTAGTAAGAAGCAAGTTATGCAGCAGATTTTGATATTGATACTTATATATATATATTCATTATAAAACTCAGGGGATAAAGAGAAAGGCACATAAATCAAAGTTCATCACAAGTAGCACACGTAATACTAACATAATTCCATAATGTGCTTAACTGGTAATAAACAATAATAATGATGATATAAAAAAACACAATTATTAAAATAAAAAAATATCGAATTTGGTCACAAAAGTGAATTGTGGGTTTGGCAGTTCAAGGCAATTCACTGTAAATTATAAGACAATTTGTTGTTTTTACTTCCAAAAAGAATAAATGTAACTGTATTTTACTGAGAAATTACATGAAATGTAACATCTATTTCAGTTTCCCAGTATTAAGAGAACTTGCTGTTAACCAGTTAACAGGGTTTTACTGTAGCATTTTTACAATCTTTTACAGTTAAATTATTTATTTATTTATTTATTTTTTAACTGAGCAGTGCATCTGACTGTACAGACCTGTCAAATACATAGTTATTAAGTCTCATCATTATGTTTTTCTATCTCTCTTATCTGCCTCTCCTATCAGATATTGATCCATATTTCTTGGCATACTTACACTGCAATAAGGACCTGGCCTCGCATAGGGTGTTAGACTGACCCTCATCTTTGGGTACTTCCTTCAGCGCGAGACTGGCTCCTCTGATTAAGACATATGCTATGGTGATGAAGGCGCGCGCTGCGTGGGGCTTAATTATTTGTCGATCCGCGCAGATGAGTCGAGATGCAATTAGAGGTTAATTGCGAAAGAAATCCGGAGCGTGGCTGGCACTGGCGTGGCAGATCATAATTAACTAACCCGCACAAATTGCGCATTTTTCCCTATCCGGCGGAAATGTGGATTGATTTTATTGCTGGATCACGCGTTATTGAGTTCATCACCGCCTATAGGTCATAAGCGGGGAGGAAAGTTGCGTGTGTGTTATCCTATCAGATCAATACACTGAATGGCGCTCACGGGGTTACGGCACATCGAGGAGGAAATATGCAGTTTAATACATAATTATCTAATCAATTTAACTTTAAACGGTCTGTCAAAAGATTATTATTTTTTTAAATAATTGTTGTGATATCACTCCTGGATTCTGAACGATAGGTTGCTTTTGATATAAATAAATATAAATAAATTATTGTTAAGAAATAATTATTGTATAAGGAAAGGCTATGATGTGTGAAATAGGCTACGTAATTAGTTTAATATAGGCCTACTTTTGATTTATGTTGTAATATAGTTTTAAAAAGCAAATTTACATTATTTAAAATGATAAAATAAATTAGCAAGAGAGAGGTCATGACTTTCCTTCCTAACATGTCTATTAATTTTGCTCTCATTGTAAGATATGCCTATTGCTCATAAGACACTCGTGACTTATAGTTTTGGAGTTAAAAGATGAACTATTTAAATCAATGTAGGCTAAATATTTCTTAATTTAATTAGCATAGCCAAAATACATTTATTTCTGTCAAAATGAATTTCAAATATAAAATGTAATTGGTCATAAATATTGCACAATATGCAATCCGTTTTATAAATGTGTTTTTAAGTCATCTCTAAAACATTTGTGTTGATAACGTCTTAGAAGCGTTTGCTCTTTTCTAAATAAACATTTTCTAAGTAAGACAAGCTGGGCTATCGGCTATTGCCTTTCCTCGCGCTCACCTTCAGCATGCGGTTGCAGGGGAGGCGTCGCTAGGGGGCGTGAAAAACACCTGTTTACGCGCGCTCTCAGCTGCTGCGCGTTCGCCTCAGCTGCCACATAGAGGCGTTGCTGTTGGAATATGCATGTCTACTGCTACGCCTCCTCCCATTGGTCCGTTCCGTTCTCTGGGTTGGACGCTCAGATGGGCCATGTGTATAAAGTGGTACATTGCCCCTTTCAGTGCTTCAGTGATACTGCGTGCCAGCGGTGGACAACAGTGCAAAAAAATAAGCTCAAGCCGTAAACGTAAAGCAACGGTGACAGCCGTCCATGTAACTTCAAAACTGACCACGGAAGGAGGTGAATTGAGTAGCCAAAATCCCCTATCCTTCGTCGGGCTGCGCTGGAGCGTCCCACAAGAGGAACTTACTCTGAGATTTGTCACACATTGTTGCGGTCCGCGTTTGCTAGTGACTGTGTAAAAAGCGACAACAGCAGCAGCAGCAATAGCATCATTCATGTGGACTTCGAGGTAAAGTCTGACGTTTTCTGAACTTGACGCGCGCGTGTTGTGTGGCGGACTATTCTCGAAATGTGAGGAAAGTTTTCGCTTTCTTCCCATGAAAGCTTAAAACTTTGTTGCCTCCAGTTAGGGGGTACTTAAAAAACGGAGGTGAAGAAGGATATTTGAAGTCTCTGATACTCAAAGGACGATTTCTCTGCTTTGTGAAGCGAGGACGAGTCAGGTTGGTGATTTTGAATTCACGAGTCTCAAGTTTCTGCCGCCCTGGCCAGTGATATTAACGTGTGAATTTGACCTGGGATAAGTTGTCAACAAGAAGCAAACTGGCTGGTGTATGCGTACATTTACATGCATGGGCATACGTATATCTATAAATAGAAGTTCGTGCCTATGTATTAAATCCTGGCCACTCATCTTCATCATTCACCTTCATCATAATCCCAGTGAAACCCACGGGTGTCGCTTTGGCTGTTAGGGTAGGTGTCGCATGGACTGACATGGCCACCGATCTCGCCATGAGCGCAGATTTGCCCAACAGCCCTTTGGCTATTGAATATGTCAACGACTTCGACCTCATGAAGTTTGAGGTCAAGAAAGAGCCCCCGGAGGCCGACCGCTATTGCCACCGCCTGCCCCCGGGCTCGCTGTCCTCCACCCCTATCAGCACGCCCTGCTCCTCGGTGCCTTCCTCGCCCAGCTTCTGTGCCCCCAGTCCCGGATCTCAGCCTGGGCAGAACCTCGTAAATGGTGTTAACAACAACAACAGTGGAAACAACAACAACACCCAAGGCTCCTCGGGCAAGCCGCAGCTGGACGATCTCTACTGGATTCCCAACTATCAGCATCACATAAGTCCAGAGGCCCTCAACCTGACGCCCGAGGACGCGGTGGAAGCACTCATCGGTAACGCGCACCACCATCATCACCACCACCAGCCCTACGAGGGATTCCGCGGTCAGCAGTACGTCGGAGAAGACCTCTCGGCGCCCACGAACGGTCACCACCACCCTGTGCACCACCACCACCATCATCACCACGGCCACCACGCGCACGCGCGCATCGAGGACCGCTTCTCAGACGAGCAGCTGGTGAGCATGACAGTGCGCGAGCTTAACCGGCAACTGAGAGGCTTCAGCAAAGAAGAGGTGATCCGCCTCAAGCAGAAACGGCGAACCCTGAAGAACCGCGGCTACGCGCAGTCGTGCCGCTACAAGCGCGTGCAGCAGCGTCACATGCTCGAAAGCGAAAAGTGCACGCTCCAGAGCCAGGTGGAGCAACTCAAGCAAGACGTGTCGCGTCTCATGAAAGAGCGGGACCTGTACAAGGAGAAGTACGAGAAGCTCGCGAGCCGAACCTTTAACGGCGGCGGCGGCAACGGAGGCAACACTCGGGATCCGTCCAACGGCACTCACGGCAAAACCACTTCCTCGGAATTCTTCATGTGAGAGTGATTCTTGTTAAAGACTTTTTCCCACACCAACGTATTCGTTTTTTAAACCTTACATTTTTTTATGATTTTCAGTGTGAATCTTATTTGCCGTTTTTTTTCTTGAATACTCAATGTCCGTTCTAGAACTCATGAAAATAAAGGTTTTACAGTCTGATGCCATAGGAGAACCTTTTTAAATTCCACAAATACATGTTTTATTTAGAAAAACATCTAGCTATGTGCTGGTGCTTTAAAGACCCAAAATCTGGAGATCCCAGAATGTAACATCCAGAACTTTTCCTTCTCCAAAGAACTACTCACTTTTTACAGCCAAAATGGTTAATGATAAGAAGGTCAAGTCCTTTGCTGAACATAAAGTGCTGAAAAGAAACACTGAAGAACCTTTATTTTTAAGAGCCTAACATTACAAAACCGTATTTAAAGTTTTCACCCATTATTTGTGTATAACTGCACCATAAAAGTCTTAAGGTTAGTGTGATGTTAGGATTATCTTCCACAGATACTGCACGGACCCTTACTTCATAAAACCTCCGATCTAAACATGGGATCACTCATAACCTCCAAAGACCCATCAGTTTTGGATTCTGTAAATTCGTATTTTTCCTTTGTCTTTTTAGTAATAGGCTAACTGCAAAGTCCGACATGTTTATAGACATACAGCCGCTTCCTTAATATTATTTGTCTTGTCTTAACGGATTGACGAGTCTTAATGGCGATGAGAAAATACTGGAAACGAAACTTCCGCTTGTGAAGGAACTTTGGAAGGAACAATAATAATTTCAAAACACTTGTAAGCAAGAAAGGGAGATAGCAATACATCCTTGACTTTTCTCAGTCATGAACTGAGGTTGAGGGGGCTTGTGAACTTTGAAGGCCCTCAATCATTGCTCATGTCTGCATTACTAATCCTGCATGCGGGACATGTATGGTACTCCAAACGCGCCAGGTCCTTTCTCTCTTTTCCCCATACAGCACTTGGATGAAAAGCATGGCCCTTAACCACTCTCTCTTCTCTCATTTTTTTTTCTTTCGTTTCTTCTGTTCGACACAAACCGTGTGAAGGACCTCATGCGTTCCTGCGAAATCACATGAAATCAGTCTTTACATTTTTTGTCTATTGTTTTAAAAGTACAGAATAAGAACAAAAAAAAAACGAACTGAGCCAGAGTTATTTATTACCACTTGTACATATGTAGAGGTCGATTGCTGTGTTAATTTAACTTTCTTTTTAAAGTCCTTTTTGCTTGATTATTTAAAACGTCTTAATACGATGTTTGTATGTAGTAGCATGCAAATGACAAAGATATTCTCATTCTATTGAAAATGTACAATTTCAAAGGAAGCCTACTGCACTACGATTCAAAGAATTGGGATTTATATAACATTTCTTTTCCTCTGTGTTAATCAAATTGATGTTATGGTGGACATAGTCGATCGTCGAAAGTGCATATAAACACAAGGACTTTAATTGCTGCTAATATTCTATGCACCAAATTCGAAAGCAATTAAGAGAAGCTCTGATTATGTGAATTATGTTAATTTTGTACTTCCAAATAAATGAAGGTATGTAGAAAACTGGTTAGATTTGGATATCAAAAATAACTATCATCTCCTAAACAAAGTTTTTTTTTTTTTTTTTTTTTTTTTTCTGAATGGCCGAGATGATTAACGACAAAACTATTAACTTCAAATATACGACAACCGCCGTTAATAAGGGTTGTTTTAACTTTTTATGACATAATAAAACTGTTGCATATGCTGTATAAAGCAATTGCCTACTGTTTTGGATTGCAACATTGTGGTGATGATGATATAGGCTTCCGACCCTCAGTTACACTACAGGTAGATTAAATGCTGAAATAATTCAAAAATAAAAGAGTGTGCAAACTTGGCTAAAAGTAATCGTGCGCATTTGATCGTGATCATTTGAGGTTGAAATATAGCTCATCTTGTTGCCAAAGTGGATTATCTAATGCACGTAAATGATCCGTTTTCAAATTATTTCCGACCCGTGTATGCTTAGTTCCCTAACAAATCTATCGACCAGACTCCAAAAATAATGTCTTCAAGTATGCTCCTCTACCTGGGTTAGTATCTGCTTGATATTCTCACATGAAAACCACTGTTAACATTGATTTAATTTTGGGGGATAAATTATGAATTATGATGAAGTTCGTTATGAAGCAATCTCTCTGTCTATTGGTCTAATTTGAGGCACAGCGACTTGAGGTTACTTAACCACGTGTGCTGTCCTGTGTGCTGTCTTATGTAAACAAATAAATAATAAAATGGGGAAAAAAAGAAAAAACTGTACATAGCCTATAATTTCTATATATTTATCGAAAATATAAATGTCCTTACGTGTCAGTAAGTCCAAACCAAAATGTTTCGAAATGGAATGTTGTTCAGAATCTTGTTTTCATAATGTTTAATAAAAACTTCTGTCAAATGCTTCAGCCTGTTTCCCACTTACTCAACAAGTGTCTTTTCAAAGCTAAAATATGTGATCTATACAAGTGTTATAAAGATTTCACAATCTATTAGGCTTAAAAAATATCGGGTAAAAAAAATAGTAATAACAATAATGCACGAAATAACGAAAAAAAAAAAAAACACACGTTGTCCGGGCTTCAGCAAATTAGGCATGTTGAAAAGTAAATAGCACAATTTCAAACGTTCAACTATTGTTATTATGTTTGTTTACGATAAAGAAATGAATTAATTTCAATAATTTATTATCATTCTATGAACTATGATGAAGGCTTAATACTTCTTATGTGGTATAGAGATTTATTTTAAGTGTACAAATGCTTACAACGTGAAATTCGTTTATGACATTAAAACGTTTTTTACACAAATGTTTAATGAACCTATTATTTAAAAGATTAAAGCAAATGTTCTTATATTATTATTATATTGCTCGCAAACTTCTCACAATTGGAACAGTAAGAAGTAATTAATGTTGGGTGGCACTAAATGTTCATCTTTTAATCAGGGTTAATTAAAAGTTTGTGTGGTATTGGTCGCAATCAATTTTTACTTTCCCCGAGTAATAATGTTAAGGCGAAAATTATGAAATTATGATCAATTACATTTTCATAATGGCAAACATTATACTCTCATTTTCTGTAGGCTGTAGCCTAATCGTTTGGAGCGCGATTTACTGTTTCAGGTTATCCAGACCTCGCCAAAGTGTTCTGATCACAGACTAATCTTCCTGTTCAATTTCTCTCACTCCCAATTATGGTAAACCAAATGTTTCTTAATGTATATTATAATATCAGAATGAACAGCTTTCTAATACTAAATAATTTGAACAAGACTAAACAAGATTGACGTGATTAACGTGAGAGTCTATATACTTCCCATGTTGTTTCCGGTGCAATAGTCTGTGTGAAGATAAAAACAACCTTTTGGCTGAACTTTAGTTTTTCTTTAAGTGTTCTGGCCTCTGCACTTGCTGTATCAAAGGCTAAACTGGATGTGTGTCACTTAACCTCTTTTGCTTGTGGCATTTTTTTTATCACTGGTTGTGTCAGAGGCAACAGTTTTAGAGGTTCGGATGAGTTCAGATTCAATATATGCGTGTATGGGAAAGATCTTTATATTATTAATATTGGTTCTTTCTTCTTTTTTTTTTTTACATCATGTGCATGAGAATCGACAAAACACTGTGCCCATCACACTTGTAGGCTTTCTGCTCTCCCTTCTTTTAAAGAACATCAATTCGCCCTGATGAAAAAGCAAAGTGAATGTTTTAAAATTTGAGGGGGAGTGTTTAATTGTTTGATCATAATATATCATTCAAGTGCAACATATTCATTGGCATTTTGAAACCCAGTGGAAGTTCATTAATTATGTTTCAGAGGGTGAAATGCATTACTTGCTCTCCATCTCCACCTGCCTGCCACTTATGAGCTATTTCAACCAGCATATTAAGATTAATGGAAATCCCAAATGTTCTGAATTTTTTACACGGTGCTGTAACCTAAATTTCAGTATAACTCTCTTTCAGAGTTGCTCTGCCCCTTTACTGTTCTCTGTCCAGTGTCATTTGTCATTTTTACAATAATTTGTCCTTTGTTAATCCATCAGGTGAAGGTTATTTTGGAAAAAATGAAACCTGCTTCTTGAATGGTGTGACTTGGTTGGTCTAGTTTGATGCAGTTTAGTGAATTTAAAGTAAACCAGGGGGAAACACTGGGTGGCATCTTTCTCTCTGATACTCATTCACCATCCCGATTGTGCTTTTTGTGTGTGCATTTGTATGCCTGTAATAAACAGACAAAATGTAGCAGATCTATTTGACAGGTCCAAAGAAAGCTAAGAGGTTCTCTGAAGAGGGTTGTCTGGAATATTTGCCCAAATCATACAGGAATAGTCACTTAGAATTCCAATTGATTGATTAAAGAAAAACATGTAATTTATATTCTTTACTTTTATAATGACTTTTTTTTTCTCCAATAATGTGCAAATATAAAACTATGGATGCAGTTTTTTATGCCGTATTTGAATAGAGGAGAGTGTGTCATTTTTCCCTCAAGCATCCAGAAGTCTCAACACGGTTAGAGACACTTGACTATTTTATATCTTCATTTTTTTGGACCGTGCAGCCCAGGCATTTTTGTTTGCCACTGTCTTTTTGTGAAGGTTTACTGTATAACTGACATTGACACTTTTCTTACTTTTTACTATTAAGAGTAGAAGACGGGAGGGCCTGCGTGTATCTTTCTCAAACAGAAATTCAGCCTGGTTGACACACACTGAGTTGCTAAACATGACATGTCATGTTTCCGTGTTATGCACACAACAGGCCACGTTTGGTTGGAGCAAGAGGTGGCCACTGAGATGCTGTCTGTCCTTGTTCAGTTCGGCAGCATCCCAGACTGAATCTCAGTCTCAGTGCACTCTCTCAAACCCACCCCATCCCCCACACTTCCTCTCATTTCTGCTGTGTCAGAGGAGACAGCCATCAATTCATCCCGACCATGTACCTGACTGAAACTCACACTGTTTTTGTTTTGATATATTAGCACGTGTATTTATTTGAATTTATTCATTATAATTCCTTAATTGAATTTGAATAGTGTTAATGATGACAATACCTATTTTTGTTTCTTTAATGCCTTTTTCCTCCTTTTTTTCTCAGCGACAGTGCATTCAATATGAATGTATTGTACCAAAAGGCACACATTTGATCTTGCACGTTGGTAACCATAGGCCAAGGTGCATTTAATAAAGCGGTGAGAAGAGATGGAAGCAAGTAGGAAGTGAGAGTGAGAGGAAGGTAGTGAGTTCTTTGGCGTCTAGGCTGCATTGCCGATGAGATTCCCCTGTAGTCAGCGTCTCTATGGCTCAGCTTACAAGAGAGGCAGACGCACGTTCTCTCACACACACACACACACACGCACACACACACACACACACCCACACTTCACAATGCACTTCACACATCATGAGGGCACTTTGGAAATTGTGTGTAGCCTACACTTGAATAAACGACATTTTATACGTGGGCCTATGATAATCTAAGAAGAAATCTATATGCCATCATACAAAATATTGGTTGTCAAAAAGAAAACAAAATTAACAATTGGATTCATAATGGTCATTTTCGAGAGATTGCAATAAAAAGCCTCCCCTCTAGAGGCCTGTACGCTGGCCACGTTTATTGGACGTGTTTGAAATCATAGACACAAAATGTCGCAACCCCCAAAATATATCGACAGCTTGATGAATCGCCTATGAAGCTCTATTAACGCTTAGCAGGTATTAATAATTATTTAGAACGCTC